AGGAATAGTCCTGCTAAGGCCAATGGAGTTACCTCACTGTAAAACCATCCTGGGTGGTGAGCGAAGCGGCCCCTGCCTTTCTCTCTTTACCCAGGCTCACGGCTGCCAGTACGGATTTCCGTTTAATATATCTTCATCAGCTTCACTTAGCATACTGTTCAAACGACATTCATTTAGCAGAAAACAGAAAATTTAACTTCAAAGATACTGTTTTCAGGGGATAATACTTAAAATGTATAAAGTGTCTTTCTCAATTATCTTTCCAGGACAGATTAATAGAAAATGAATTGCAGGTATTTAAGTATGTAAATTTTAGAAAGTAAAGAGGATCAAAAATGATCGTGGAAATGTTATAAACAAATGGATACAAACCTATAGAGATAATGTGCCACCTTTAGCAGAGAGCAGATAAACTATTACAACGTGGTTTGGTATGACAGAGGGCCAGTCAAGCTCCTTTGGTGCCCATTAGAAATTTCCTGATAAACATTCGAATTTAAAAGAATCCAATTTGTGCTAGTTTAACTACTAGTCTGTTACTGCCTCATTTCTCAGTATAACATGTTTAACTAGAACATAATGCTTTCAAAGTTTAAGTTAATATTATATATATATTATATATAAATATATATTCATAATAAAGATTTAATTATGTAATGGATTGTAAAGAATTTGTTTGGATACTTACAAATGTCTCTAACACTATTATAGAGAAGAAATTAATATCTTTGTTTTCTTTAAAAAAACTGACACATTGTTATATCCAAATTCATTTTTACTGAAAAAATACTGTACATGTGTAAAATGTTCAGTTGTTATTTGTAAAATAGGGTAGTTCTGTTGTAATTGATATTGGCCAAAATCAATGTTATTCCATATTTTATTTTTTCTATTAAATTAACCTAAATTCCTGTTCTTTTGGTCTGGAAAAACATGTTGATAATCTGTATGTAAAATACCTTTGTTGAAGGGCACAGGTAGCTTTACGGTATAGAGCACTTAGATACCACACACAAGTCGTTGAAACAAACTGGGAGGGTAAGGGTGTTTAAATTCATTGCAGAATTTTTTTTAAGTGATGGAATTTATGACCGCAGAAATGTCTGATTTCCATGGAGGACACCTTTTGTGTAGTAACAGTACAGCCATGTCTGAAGCCTAGTAGGTAACAATGTTGGCTTCCTCTGACGTGTAAGAGTTTGTGATGTGTCTAACCTCTTGCATGTTTAGGATTAAAAAGTTAAATGCGCAACTACCTAGTCGCTCAGACAGTTTAGGAGGAAGCTTTTGTCTTTGCAGTCATACGTGGCCATTTGCACAATGAGATGTTGTTATCTGTTCACATGCCAATACTCACATCCAGTACACCACAGATCAAAATCACAGACTGCCACTTGAGAACAGCAGGCTGTCTGTCTGTCCTTGCCAGTAGATCAGAAGGGCTTCATGTAGACTCATCTGTGACCCCTGCAGGGTGAGACCCTCCATCGGCATTAGCTGATGGTCTCATTCACTTCCCACTTAGTTCTACAACCTGAGTGGAGACCAAAGTGGCAACTCTACCAAGAAGTCATGTATTCAGATGACGTTTTAAGCATGTTCACTGAGGCCATGTAAAGAGTTTCTTGAAAAAAACACTTTTCAAGCTTAAACATCTCATTGTCACCAACTTAGTTTCAAAACAAGGAGTTAGATCATTCTCACGGTTTCCCTGTCAGTCCTGGGAGCACTTATATGTGGGATGGCACATTCTTAGCAGTAGTTTGCTAAGACCACACCTGGCGAAAATGTTGGCCTGACCCTTATACCAATACTGTATGAAGAGCTGCTTCTTTCCACTCCCACCTCACTTTCACCTTCATCTTCATCT